TGTTAAACGTAATAATAATTATACACGTGGTGCTCCTGATGCACCGAGAAAGCAGAACGGTTCACCTAATGCTTAAGCTTTTAGGAAAAAGCAACTTTGGAGAAAGTCCTAGTCTGTAATTAAATATTGGAAGACATGAATTTGCTTCAATCTGAATCTAATTGTTGATTGTTGATCATCAATCTAATTCAATTTAACCATTCAAATCAATTAGGAAAATCGAGGCATTTAATTTGATTCTTTGATTCAAAGAACTGACAAACGTTGACTGACTCGTCCCAATCACTGACTCAGACTGGGGCATCTCCTTTAATGCAGCCTTCAATTCAACGGTCCAATTCAATTAGGAGAGTAGATTCTATTTGGAACTTCAACCAAATTGGTTTCAAATTGAATCTCGGAATTAAAGCTTCTCGCAGTCCTAGTCAATATAGGCAGTGTTTGCTGCAAGATTTTGAAAGTTATTATTATTATTTTTTACTCTCTGGAAATGCCACTCCACACCCCAACTCCGTCTGGTGCGGAGTTTCAGCATTTCACAAAAACTTAAATTACATCAAGTATATGTCAGGTGCAGCACTTCTGTGGCTGAGGCAGGCAGAACTGGGGTGGGAGAAAATTTTTGTTTTTACTTGACTCCGTCACTCCGGCCTTTTCCTTCTCTTGAACCCCACCAACAAATTCCTGTTACAAACCAGAAGTGCCCTTGTGCCTCTCAGCAGTTTCACCCACCGTTAATCTCCTCCTCCTCCTCCTCCTCCTCCTCCTCCTCCTCCTCCTCCTCCTCCTCCTCATCTTATTTGTGAAGCAAGATCGCAGTAAGCCCTGTTATTGCCACCTACTGGAACAAAACCCGCAAGTCTACTTAATTATAAAATATCACAAATTGCGAATGCCGTTCCTCAAGCAACCAAACCCCACCCTCCTAAGACCCCTTCCTAAGGTCTCTGGCCATGACAAATAATTCCCACGGAAGGAACCCTCGGACTGTACTTCAAACCATCCTTCCTCAGACGAACTTCGGCCACACCAAAAGGCCACCAGGCCTTGCTCTGCCACACTCTCCGATCCGCAGGGACCGCACGGTCTTAATGCGAGTCTTTCTTTTCCAAATGCTGCAGTTTGGTTGAAGAGGGCCTGATCCTGGGGGCCAAAGAGCCAGAAATGAGAGGCCTCCTCCGAGAAGTCCAGCCTGTCGTGGTCTGCGACATTTTATCTGAAGTTTCAAGCACCGCAGGGGCCACGCGGGGAAAGGAGTACCAGCGCCTGGTGGGGCTAAGGCCTGCCTGGGCTGCGTAGCTTTTTTTGCACGTTCCCATGCGCATCTCCACAGGGACTGGAATCTAGCAGAATTAAAGCCGAGGTGTGTGCAGCTAGTCCTCAACTCACAAGCATTTGGTTAACAACCGTTAGTATTCGAAGTTACAATGGGCTCTTTAAAAAGCGACTTACAACTGGTCCTTGCCCTTACAACAGTTCCAGCGTGCTGGGGGTCCCGGGGTCAGAGTCTGGGTGCTGGATGTGTATCCTATGGGGGGTGGCAGGAATGTACCCTGGGGGGGAGGGGTAGAGGCCATTTGTGACCTTCCCAGCCGGCTTCCGCTGACAAGGAACTGGAATTCACTTAACAACCGCAGTGATTCGCTTAACAACCGTGGGGGGAAAGGTTGTAAGACTGGGTGTGACTTGCTTAACAACAGAAATTCTGGTCTTGGCTGTGGTCGTAAGGCGAGGGTTACTTGCACAGTCATAAACCCATTTTCAGAGACCAGACTACAAGTCTAGCTCTACAGCCACTCCGACCCCACAGGAACGACCTCCCCCCAAGTCCAGGGTGGGTTTTGCACCCTCCGGGCAGAGGTTTGCACCCTCCTGGTCAGCCTGGTGGGCGAGAAGAGCCTCAGGTCGGCAGCCCACCCCCCTTTCCCCTCCCCGCTTCTCTCCCGCCTTGGCTGTGTAAATGGACGCTTGTCGCGCACGCTTGTCCTTAATTACATCCAGCCCCATGGATGCCAATCACAAATCATCCTTGATTAAACACGGCCCCATTGTTAATTGCACATTATCCTTGATTAGACACTGTATGTTCACACTGTGGACTCACGTCCGGCTCCTGGTCGACCAGCTCCAGATCCTTTTCACGTAGGCCACTGAGTGAGGCATCCCTGTCCTAAGTCTCTGCTTCGGATTCTCCTTCCTGGAGAACTGCAGAACTTTTTCCCACTGAATTTAATCGTGTTATTTGTGCCCCGTGTTTTTAACTGATTGAAGGAATTTTGAATACTTCAGTCTTGCGTCAGACCCGATTTTACGCCAGCTGCAAATTCCTTTATTCCTTCATCCCAGCCACTAACAAAAATACGGATCAGGGCCAGGCTCAAAGACCAGGCCCTCCGGCAGGCCCCCTTGGGCCCGAGAGGGGCTGTTTGATGACCGTGCTGTTGTTTTTGGTTTTATAAATAAGAAACTTATTCAGACTTAAATGAGTGTCTGTGTGTGCCGAGAAGGGGAATCTTATCAGTAAGTTGTTAGTGCTTGAATGTAAATGTTACGGAGGCTTCATGAATCACCAGATGCCAGCTGAAAAGACAAGACTCTTGCAATGACAGTGACTGACAACTGATGACGGTCACTCTAAACCTCTGGATGACTGCGACACACAGTAATACTGCGTTTCTTGTTTTTGAAAGTCCTGTGTCACATTCAGAAAGTTGAGAGGGAGAGGGAGAAAGAAACATTTATTCTTGGGGAAGGCAGGGCAGGGCGAAGGCAGGCACCCACTCTCCGGGCTAAGACCTGGCCCTGCCAACTAGCCTTGGGGGGGGTGGTCCAAGAGCACCATGCATCTCTGGGGGGGGATGAGAGCGGTCACTTGTGGGCTGAAGGCACTCCCTTTGCCCTTTGCCCTGGATTCTAACCTGGTTTTTAACTATGGCTTATATATAATTGTACTATTTTATCTGTAGTGCGATGGTCAGCGTAGAAATTCCATAAATAAATAAGAATGGAAAGGAAGATCCCAAAGGAACGTGAAGGAGGGAACGTTCGGGAGGCGCATCGCTCCGTCTTCCTCAGCTGAACGCCTGCAAACGCTGCCACAAGATGTGAAGACGTCTTGCTGAACACCCTTGTCTGTCAAACTCTCTGCTAAGACTTGGCTAAGTCTTTTCTTAATGAAATCCTTGTTGGTTCTCAAATCCAGGGGGCTTCGTTAAGATGAAAGGGATGGGAACAGCCTGCAACAAAACCGCTCTCCTCTCCGTCCCGGGTAGTTTAACCTGTAGCGTTCACAGCAGTGCTAAAACTGCCCGGCTTCCATGCCGGGGCCTCATCTTATCCGTGGGGCGTGGATAAAGGCAAAAGGGCTGGCTGCCTACAGAAGGAGAGCCCCCTCCTCTTCCTTTCCCAGTTTCTTAGCAGGCGTTCTGGAATTTTCTCTGGGTGGGGGAAAAACGGATCAAGACAATGGATTCAACATCATCCTATCTCTGCCTGGAGCAGAAAATTCCTACAAGTCTTAATACAAAAGAGGCTGAGGGAAAATCGGAATTAACGAGAACTGAAGCTTGTTGTATTTTATGGGTGTACAGCTTAAACTACTGCACTGCATGAGAACTCTGTTGTCCTACAGAAAGCAACATAATTATTTTTTAAGGTTCCCTCCTGTAAAGGCTACCTCTTGTAAAAAAACAATCCTTCTAGATAAAACTTTTATGATATTATTTATAATAGTACTGTATCATCAACATGCCGATGAGGCCTGGCTTATCACCTCCACCCTGAGCCGTCCAAGTGTCGCTGTGGCCGTCCTGCATGGGGCAGAACAGGGCTTTGGGTTCTAGGACCACCCTCCCCCCCGTTTCTGAGGATTCTCCATCTCCTGTTCTGGAGGGGGTGGCCTTACAGGACGGGTGTGCGATTTGGGGGTCCTGCTTGAGAGACGGGCACCAGCCGTGAGCGGGAGAGCCTTTGCCCAGCTCCGTGTTGCGTGCCTGCCCTGTGGATCCCCATCGCCCCGCAGGTAAGTTTGGTCCTGACCCTGCTGGCCTTTCACAAAGCCCGGAAGACACGGCTGTGTTTCTGGCCTTGAGAGTCGGAGCATCTGCTAGAATTAGCGAAATAGGTTTTGTTGAAATATCTGTACTGAATTCTTTGAAAACCTCAGTTGCCAACTGTCTGTTTTGTTGTTTTAACTCTTGCAGGCTGTCCGCTTAAAGTTTGAGCCGTGCAGCCGTGCAGAATGAATGAATCAGTGGCGAGTACAGCTACAGGAAAAGACCCCTGTACAGAGAGACGGCATACGGGAGACGGCCTTTCCAATCCTGAGCAGAATTGGGAGCTTGAATGATTTAAGAGTTCACCACTGAGCCTGTGGGAAAAGGGCCAAGGGGAAGGTGGCCAGGAACTACTACGGGCAGAACAGATCCATTCTACCCAGCAGACAAGGTTTTCTACTGCTTTCTACAACTTGGTACGATCGTGGTCATTTTGCAACCAGGACGAACTCTTCTTGAGAATAAATATCTATAGATTCATCCCTCTAGCAGGGAAGTAGCTCCAAAATGTTGAGAAGTCTGCCGTTATTACAATTTCAAAACCCAACCAGGTGACCTGACTTAGGAATTTTCACTTAACTTTCGCTTCTGGCATACAGGCTACATTTTAACGGGACGCTGGTGTTTCTCACCTCCGAAGATAATTCTTCCTTAAGGCTGTTGGTGGACATGGCCAATCCCTTTAATGTTATCTAAGGTGTTATTCATTTAGGCACACAGCTCAGACTTTCTGATTTTTATTGCATGATTCACCAGAAAGCTTGCTAGGAAACCATTTTAAGATCCACTTGAACTCTCCGTTAAATCAAGGAGAGCGTCCCGCTGGCCTCTTCTACGCCTGTCCTGTCAGGCTGGTGGCACCCTGTGTGCAGGGCAGGACGCCCAGGGGCCCTCCTCAGACACAACGCTCGGCCCCAAAGCCTCAGCAGGGAGTCTTGGGGGTGGGTGAGGGGGGGGCATCCCCAGTCATGTAAATTCTGGTTTGAGTTTCCAGAGCCCTTCGCCACTCGGCCTCCTGTGGAAAGTGCAGAGGTTTCTCAGAAGCTCCCGGAAGATGCAGGACTGCTCCGTGGTCAGCTTGGAGCCGAATTCCTGCAGGATTTCCCGAGTGCTGGCCTGGCCCTGCAGCTCAGCCTGGAAAGCCATGAAGTTCCGGATGTCCGAGAGCAGCTCATCCTGCTCGGTGGCTGTGGGGGCCCCGCGGATCGTGTGCTGAAAACTCCCCTCGGCCTGATCCTCCCTCTGCTGGGATCCAGTCAGGTGGTTCCTCTCCTTCATCCTAGCCAGCAGCGAAGAGGAGTCCAAGGCGCTGGAAGAGGCCTCTGCTGCCCCTGCTTCTCCATCCAAGGGAGAGACTCCACGGGCCGGCTCCCCTCCCCTCTCTCTCTCGCCCTCCTCCTGCGAAAACACATAAAGGTGGCGGGAGGAATTCTCGTATCATAGAACTTAAAACCATTAAAAGTTTTTTTTTCCTCCTGATTTGTGCAATGCCTGTATCCAAACAGCAGGGTAACCCCCTTTATAATCCAGGGCAAGCACATGCTGCAAAACTGCAATTTTATGCACGCTTTCCTAGATATAGTCTTCAATGAACACAAATGAATGGAACTGAGTAGATGCCAGTCGTTCTGCAGGTCCCTCCCTCCCTCCCACAAGCGGGTGAGCTGCTTAGAGCAGAGCTCTTCCTGGCCTTCCTCGGCCGATGCGGATCTGAAGGGGAATCCACTCATTTGCCCAAGTGGAGAACATTATGACCTCCAAACAATGAGAATAGTTTTACGATGGAAGTAATTGCCAGAGGAGTTGTGTTCATCGTCCTATGAAAAAAAGACCCCTGAATTGGTGGGGTCTTGAAATAGTGAGTCAATACTTTACTCTTGATTCCTTGACTGAAAACCAGACTGAAGAATTTGTCTTTTCCATTCTTTCTTCCTCCCCATCTATATATTCCACTTACAGGTACGCCTTTAAAGTGTGATTTGGATTTGATAAGGCATTCTAGGTTAAACCCTCAGGTAGGCCTTGCATCAGACCCCACTAGGAAAGCTCCCCGGGTCATACACAGGGAGGCTCCTGGAGATGGAAAACCATCTCTGGCTCTTGAAACTTGCTTCGAAAAGGTGGTCAGGACCCATTTCTTCTCCCTTCTGGAACATGTTTGGGGACCTTTTAAACCCGCATGACTAGAACCGAGGCCCAAGCGTCATGTGAAAAAAAAATACATCTCCTGTTGATACTGATAGCAAAGACAAGAAAATGAAGAAGCTGCCATCCATGAGATGTAGCCACGTGCCCCCCCCCTGTGGAAGCCAAAAGGGGGCCATGCAAACTAAGATCAACAATGGGACTTGTAATCAGCAGGACAGGCTCAGCTGCTTTTGTGTGCAAGATGTGACCGTCTGTCAAGAGAACTGGGCTTCTTACGTTCACTATGAGTTGCTCCTGTTTCAACTTGCACTTTTTCCCTGAAGCTTCATAGGAAGAAGATGGTATCACGAAATTTGGGTTCCTCTTCTGTCCAAATCTGCTTCTGAAATTAACCAGAAACCAGAGACATATTCTTCACAAACTGATCTCATGGCATCACAAGGTAGATACATTTACATTAGACTGATAATACACTGTAGGGTCACATGGCAAAACAAAATATAGGAAGGTTGGCTCCATGCACACCTCCTGCAGACCTCTACCCACAAACTACGTCTATTAACTTGTCTCTTCCTTTTTTGTCCACTTCCTGAGTGCCATTTTTCTATCTCATTCCCATGCAGAAATATACAACATTTTATCAACGGTTGTGGGAATTGGGTCTGTCTAGCCTAACGAAGAGAAGAACTAGGGGTGACACGATAGCAATCTTCCAATATCTGAGGGGCTTCCACAGAGAGGAGGGGATCCACCGATGCTCCAAAGCATCTGAAGGCAGAACAAGAAGCAACGGATGGAAGCTAAACAAGGAAAAGAGCAACCTAGAACTAAGGAGGAATTTCCTGACTGTGAGAACAATTAGCCAGGGGAACCACTTGCCTTCAGAAGCTGTGGGTGCTCCACCATTGGAGGTTTTTAAGAAGAGACTGGACAGCCATTTGTCTGAAATGGTACAGGGTCTCCCGTTTCAGCAGGGGGTTGGACTAGAGGACCCCAAGGTCCCTTCTAACTCTGATATTTTGTTATTCCGTAACTTCTACATAACATTAATTTGGAACTGGGAATATTTAAGCTTTTGGCAAGCCAGTGCTCTCATGTCCTATTAACATAGTCAAGAAATAATAAGACATTATCTACCTCAAAAAAATGAACGATTATTTTTATTACGGCCACTGACCAAAATTTATCTCATAAAATAATGTAAAGATAAACGAGATTAGGGAAATTTCTCTTGCCTAACAGCCAAGGAGCATTGTCAACGCTGCAAATACTGTATATTCTTGCTTTGACAATATGCAGAACTGTCTGGTATTTTTATAGTTAAACCAGGCAACAGGGAAAAAGGGAGGAGAATAAGGATAGCCCGGGAAAAAGAAACAGGAAGTAAATCACATCTTCCAAGTTGATTGGAAGATGTGAACCATGACCCCAAAATAAGGGGGGGGGGGGAAATGCTTGGAATGTATATGCGTAAGGGAAGAGAAGCCAGACCTAAGCATTTCCACCATGCTGTACTGACGTCTCTGTAACCTTAATAAATGCTTTTAGGAAAAAATATGCCTGAAAGTCCTTTTAAGTGTTTCGTTAATCAGACATATGACAAGCGTCAGGGTAGGTGGCATCAGTAGATTTTTTCCAAGCTTCCTTTTTAGATACTGAAGCTCTACAGCTATTTTGTAATGGCTAAAATACAGAATCTGCGCATCTCAGCAAGATGCAAGGATTTCCAACAGGGCTGGCTGTTCACTTTCTCTCTGAAAAAGTTATGCATCTGGATGCAGCAGATACCCCAAATAAGATTACACGGTGAGAGAGACCAACTCTCCGGTCCATGAAGCGGAGTGCCGTCGTAACGGACGCGGAGGGAGGAGGGCCAGCAGGCTTACTTTAACCAGGTTGGGGCGTCATCCGTCCGCGTGGAAGCAGCTCCCCGGTATCGTTGTCGAGAAATCTTCAGGGCTCGGAGGGCGTCTTGAGCGACACGGCTGGCCTCGCCTTCCACCAACACATAGTCTGGACTGGAAGCTTCCATGATGGCGTCATGCTTCATCACGCTGTGTATTCCTGGGAGAGGAAGGAGTTAGGAGTTAGAACCCCCATCTCCCCCATTCCCTTCGCCTGGGTGCGAGCAAGAGGCGCTCTGCCCGTGAGGCTCAACCGCTGGCCTAGAAGTGCTGGGCCAGGGCCAACCCGCTTCAATTGGCTGCCTCGCTTCTAGAAAAGGGGGCCCTGCCCACAAACCGCCAAAAATAAAACCGGTAACTGTCCCAGAACAAAATGTGGAGAATGCCACAATCTGCCCCGGCCAGTATCTCCTTGGCTGGGGAATTCTGGGAATTGAAGTCCAGGCTTCTTCAGGTGGCCACAGTTGAGAAACACTGGGACGCACAACGAACCCTGATGAAGTGGGTGCACGACTGACTTTCTTGCCTCAATTGATTCGCTATTAGGGAGAGGATATTAGTTCTTATATTAGACCCTCGGCCCTTGCGACTGGGCACGATCGGGGGGGGGGGAAATAGGAGGAAGGAGAGCCGTAGTTTGTCCTTTCCAGCTCCAGAGTGAAAGGCAGAAAGTAATAAATAAACGTGCACAAACTCATCTAGACTCTCATTATTTCCCTGCTGTGTCTGTATCTATCAGCAACTATTTTTATGGGAAAATAAACTGAAATAAATTACTTGGATCTCTGTCACATTTGGAATTATTTTTAAACAAAATAGCACAACAGAAGAAAGTTACCTGATTTTTTGAAAAGCTTCTCCAAAACGTAATCGTCGCTTTTCTTTGGCTCTCGCAGCCCCTCTTCGCAATCTTCTTTCTGGTACTTCCTCTGCTTCACCAGGTGAGGAATTGGCACCCCCTCGAATCTGGCACCCCGAGAACCTTTGGGCCTCTTCCGTTTGCCCTTGCGAGGCCCCGGGGTGGAGGGAGGCTCCCCGGGAGGAGCGAGCGGCCGACAGCTGCCCTGCTGTGCCCTGGAGCCTGGCCTCTCCCGGCCCTTCCCCTCCTCCGATGTGCCTCCTCCTCCTCCTCCTCCTCCTCGGCCCGGCTCCTCCCCCAGCCCCGAGGGCTCCTCTCCTGTCCCCAGGAACAAATCTGCACTGGCAGCGGGCATTTGGGCAGGGTCTTTTGGAAGAGGACAAGGGGACAGCGCTGAGCTTCCCTCGACCACCATCGACTCCCCCGCTGCAAGGGGCACAGTTTCATGGTTCCTTGCCAAGAAGGAATCGGACTGCCCGGAGGTCGGCTTTGCACGGGGCCTTCTGGAAAATCCAGAGACGTTGGCGTTGCGACGCTTCAGTGGCCGCTTCGGTGCTGGAACATCAGAGCCGGTTCCTGAAAGGCATCACACAAAGCGTCACCGGCTGCTCACGCCTCTCCCTGCACGTGTTATTAGGCGAGGGCACCTGCCCTGGCACAACACACCTGCAAAGAGGGCACTGGTCTCTGTCCCCTGGGCTCCGTCCGGGGCGCTCAGGGTGAAGAGCTCGTAGAGGTCATTGGACTTGAAGAAACGCCTCTGCTTTGGGTCCTTCAGGATTCTGTTCGTTAGAAACTGTTTGAATATTTGCCTGGGAAAGCAACATTTTGGGATCAGGGATGCACAGGGTTCTCTGTTCAAAACATGACACATTTTTCCTGCTATATCTAATCTCTCTCTCTCTCTCTCACACACACACACATGGAGAATTCCACTATAGACATGTAAAAGATCTCAGGAACTTAGAAAACGTTTAAAGAATCAACGGAACAGAATAAATAATTTCAATAAAAGTGAACACCTCTTGCTGTGCTTTAAATTCAGAATTACGCTCCGTTTTCAATAACCGTCTTTTGTCTACTGCAACTGTAGCTCAAAAGGGTTCCACGGTTGCAATCAAACCGTCAACTGCAATACGTGTTTCGTCCTCCCTGCCAAGGACGGGGGGGGGGGGGGGCTGGGCCACGCAAGCAAAAGAGGGGAAGCGGCTGGATGCAGATTCTCAAACCTTGACACCCGGCAGAAGGGCAGCAGCAGAGGAGCCCAGCAGCCGCCTCGCACCCACCTGTGGTAGATCTTTTCTTCAATGGTCCCTGCAGTGAGAAGCCGGTACA